AACAGTATGAAACCCAGCTTGTGAAAGAGTTATGGGACATGTACGGGAGCAGGAACGTAAATGAGAAGGAAAGGGTGCTTATAAGCTAGGGGAACAATTAAAGCAGGGCTGGGCTTTTACGACTGATTTCTGGATGTAATTGCTTGCCAATAGATTCGTGTTTGACCGGATTTGCAGTCAGATACATCCATGTTTGGCTGGAATTGCAGCCGGATACCTAAAGGAAGGTCCTAGTGTGAGTATGCTCTGAGAGCTTCCGCGGGTTTTGATAACAGGAGAGATGTGTTTCCGCCGGTTTTGACAACAACAGAGATGTGCATCGCTCCTGGTAGCTGCATGATAAAATGGATGACTCTGAAATGCAGTGGGTTTCCAGCGCCCACTCAGAGTCCCCCGAGCCGTCATGGCTTCATCTGAAACCCTGCTCTCTCTCTCTCTCTCTCTCTCTCTCTCTCTCTCTCTCTCTCTCTCTCTCTCTCTCTCTCTCTCTCTCTAGGATGGGTTGGGCCTGCCAGGTGCCGTGGACTTTGATGAGCCAGTAGGCCAAGCTGACTTCTGGCCCCTGCCTATAGTCTTCCCCTGAAGAATACAACGTACGCTCATTATAACTGTATTTGAGCCATCTTTCAGTCTAGATACAGCTATAATGACCGTACGTTGTATTYGGCGGAAGAAGGTAGGATCCACWAAWGAGAGTGGCAGTTTGCGGACCCTTCCGGGGTTGATATAAAGGAATTGCAGTTGGAGTCCCCYTTTATTSGCAATGGGGAAGGGGGGACGGAAAAATAGAAAAGAAAAGAAAAAGAGATGTCCATTGTGTCGAGCTAGCAGTTTAGCCCACCTGACTGCAAGTCAGCGCACATTAGTTATTACGCAGAATGAGCACTGGTCTCATTTGAATTGAGCTTGGGTGTTTCAAACTTTCAGCATTGTGAGTTCAAAGGTGGAAGGAATGAAATGCCCATATCATCCCCCCTAGCCGGGAAGCCCCTTTTTTTTTTTTTTTTTTCTTTTTTTTTTTTTAAAGGGGGTAACTACGGCGCAGTCACGTTTTCAGTTCTAAATCCACTTCAAGCAGACCTCGAATACAACACATCCCCACCTAACCCGAAAGCTGGGTTGGA